TGAAGTTTCCACTTGACTTTTGTTTTTTGCCTTTTCTTCCTGCTGGTCCTGAACAATGACATTCCCTTTGATTTGGGAAGGAGTGACCATCATTCAGTACGTCTCAGCCTAGGGTATTTGAGGAGTATAGTCATACCTTTAATGCAGTAAAAAATGTAATAAGAGATTTGGATTTGAAAGCGTCTCAGCTGTTTACTTTTAACTCTCGTTTCATGTGTAGTCCCAAAGAAGTCTAATGGATTGGAGAGACTTGGATTTCCTTTACAGTAGTAGATTTATTGTGATTCAATTATTGTGACAACAGAACTGTTTGTCTCAGTATGTTTGAAATTAAAAATTAGGAACAGAATTGTAATTCAGTTTACCTGTTACTTAGGTCTCATTTGCATCATTCTTAGGATCACAGCTTTAAAACAAAGGAGCAAACCTTATAGGTTTCTGAGTTGCAACGCACCATTTTATAGATGGTGATTATAGAAAGGCTGGAGTTGGGCCTTTTTCTGTGGCCGTAGGGAAGAGGAGTTGAAACAGGGTTCTCATGCTGCAGCACAGGGAATTTAGGTTGGGGATTAGGAGGAACTTTCTGACTATAAGGATGATCAAGCATTGGACAGACTATCTAGAGAAGCTGTGGAATCTCCATCCTTGGAAGTGTTCAAGAGCAGGTTAGACAGACATTTGGCTGGGATGGTTTAGTTGGGAATGCTCCTGCCTTAAGCAGGGAGCTGGACTAGATGACCTTGTGAGATCCCTTCCAGCCCTACTGTCTTATGATCTTATCTAGAGACTGCATTTTTCTCAGCAGAAGTTCAGATATTTAGGTCATTCATAACTCTTGCATACATAAGCATTAGGTCCTAGTCACGTTTTGCTCTTAATCTGTTTGTTCCAGGATCTACTCTCTCTCTACCTCAATCCCCAATGTGTCTTTATAAGTTAGGAATATAGGACTGGGAAAGTCCCCAGACTGGGGAAGCTTTTCATTTTAGTAAAACAAGAGAATTATTTTATTCATCTCTGGTTTTGTTTTCACAATAACATTATTGTAGCCATCAAACTTAGCGGTATGTTAACCTCCCATACAGTGAATATGCTAAGAAATGAAAATAGGGAGGAGAAGAGGAGCCTTCTTCTCCCCAGTGCCCTTTCCCTGTAAAGAGACCGAATGAAATTGACTAACCGTGCTGCTTGCCTTCCCAAAGGAAAAGGAGGGTTTATGGCACTATGGTCCCTAGAAACTGGTCAGCAAAGCTGACTGAGTATAGAGAGCACATGGCACACTTCATAACTGGTTCTTTGGAGGTCCAAGAGGCGTTGTTCCCACTTGGAAAGGGTCCCTAAACTCCTGCTCTCGAGTTCTGTGCTTCTTCACAATCCATTTTACATGCAGAGGTTCCTTTCCCCTTCTGCTCAGGATTGCACAATACAGGGAAATGGAACTTTAAAAGTCAAAAAGCTCTACTAACTGAATTTGTCCCAGCAAACTAACTAATTTAGGAAACCAACAGAGGCAAAATCTGTGATTAATGAAAATCTAAGGGAATTTATCGCATAGATGATACAGGAAACCTACCTTTCATTCCCAGTAGTGTTCCTGTCTGACCTGAATATATTCAAAATACCAAACTGCCTGATTACAGCACAGTTGCATCCAATCTGTCACCTCTTTCTGGATTAGAAAATACCATGTAGGAAACACTCTCTTTACGATTTCTCACGTTATTCATATTGCTGTCACATTTTCACTAACTACAAAGTAATGTATCAGATGTAATCCCCTTCCTGATCTGTATGGAAAGCCAGCTCTGAAGTTAATTGAAGACTTCCAATTAGACTAAATTAAAAATTGGCATATACTAAACATGGCACCTACCGAGGAGATTATGCATAATGACAAATTTAATGAAGGAAGTTTTCAGAGGCTAAGTAAATGACTAGCCAAGTAGTCCCAAATTATTTTTTCCTCTTACAAGTAGGAAGAAAGGCAGGTTTTAAGGGATTCTGTATTCAGACTTTTTCAGTACTTTTCTGCTAACAGAGAGAAGTGTGTGGGAACTTTGTTTCACGTACCACAAAGCTATATGATTCTATCATGTATATAAAGACAAATAGTATTGCCTGATAGGACTTGCCACCAGAAATCTTTCTGCTGAATGGAAGCTTAATTTTATACTTGCTTCAGAAGTCAGTCTACAAAAAATCCTCAGAGATGCACCATTCAGAAATAAATTTCATTCACTATAAATCTTTTCATAAGTTGGTGTGAACCACAGCACTGTGTGAGGAGGGGAGGGAGCTGCATTTCAACACCAAAAAGGGAGGGGACCTTGCATATTACCCTGGAGGAGGTCTGGATTGTAAGATTGCTCTGGGCAGTGTGTCAGTCTTTAAAATGAAGGCCAAGAATTTAAGAAGCTCTTGCGTCTTCTGATGCCTATGACAGGATTCCCTCCTGGATGATCTTCTGTGATCTCTTAAGTCTGAGGTGTTATCCTGCTTTAAAGAAATAAAGGTTTGAGTAGAAGTTGAAGGAAAATCACGCTGAGAGAAAAATTCTTAGCCTTTCTCCCACTTTATTACATACTTTGAGAACATCAGAGAAAAAAGGAAACAAGTACAATGAGCTAGCCGTCTCTCACTAAAATGAAAAAAAAGAAAAAAGAAAAGAAATGATAGTTCCTTGGCTGACTCATCTCGCTTTTGTGGGACTCATCTTGCTTTCAAAATCCCTTACTGAATGTTGCTGTTTTGGGTTCGGAGGACATGCTTTTTTTGAAGAGGGGAACACACTTACCAGGCAACTCTCTTCCATTGGTAAAGATAGAATTCTGCTCACCACTGATAGGAGAAATAAGGCCTAGAGATACTGACAAAGGTTAGTAGTATTTGTTCTCTTGTAAGATGGGCCTTGTCCTTCCTTTGATGCTGTGCTGCCTTTTACCAAAATACTGTTCCTTGTGAAGCAGGCAGTCAAGTCAGGTTCATACTTTTGGGTTGAGGGAATTGGCCATAATTGCTTGCGAGGGGCTAAATGAGTTATGATTTGGTGGGCTTAAACAATTCTAAGCCCTTTAGTTCTAGAAAATAAAGGCTAAAGAATTCCTGTCTACTTTGTCACCTGTGTTATCTCAGGTATTTTTAAGATGACTGCTGTTGTAATATCAATGCACTGAGGATTTGCAATTGGGAAGGAAAACAACAGGCAGGTGACACGGAGCATCTTCTATATTTACTAAGATTTCTTGGTGATCTGTAATGATGGGAAGATAATGAAATGTGTCAAGTAGATTGAAATTCAGTTAGCTGCCTGAAGGTGGCAGTAGCACTTGAAAATCTTTAATACAGAAGAAAGCAAATATTTATGAGAAATTGAGGTTACATAAAGATTTGGGCAAAAATCTTCCCTTGTTAACCACCTCCCTCACAAAGAGCACAGTGGTAATATAGGGGTATGACCTGAGCAAAACCTATATTTTCAAAACCCATATCTTAAATATTACTTTTCCCTGTACCATTTCCTTCCAGGGTTTTCTTTTTCTTTTTTTCTAGGGAATGATGGTAATAGGAGGAGGTTCCTTCCAGCTGCTGGTTATATGAGTGGGATATTTTAATAGCGCCACTGGAAAAATTGTAATGAAATAATAGTGCATTAGTCCCTTACATCTGTTTCAACCACTTGTCATTTCCCCACATGCATTTAGGGTGACTAGGTATCTTAGTGATCTCTAAGATTACATATGGAAGGTGATAGGGGATGGGGATGAAAGAAGAAGTTTAATTGGGTAGCACTGTCATTCTCTTGATACACAACTGAATGTGCAAAAAGCACATAATAGCAGGTGGGGTCTGGAATTTGGAATATTTCACATTTTGGGACGTATAATACAATAAGAAAGAAGAAAAGGAAATGATGCAAAGGACACCTGCACAGCGGTAGATGAATAAGGAATGCTTTTTAAATGAGGAAGAACTTGGGGAATGGGGATGGAACAGAGTGCCTTTCTGACTCTACCCGGACTAATCTTTTAGTCCACAAGCTTTCTTCTAAATGGGAGGTGGAAATCCTCCGAGATAAGACTATCCACCAAGTTCTGGTCTCTGAACTTCTGCCCTCCAAACTTTAATCTATAATCAGGTGCTGAAACCTTTCTCTACCCATTCTCTTCCTAACTAGTTTTCTATACCTGCGGTGGCACTGGAGTTCTGCTGCTGGGAGGCCAGGCAACAACACCGCCTGGCTGGAGGGCTGCTGGTATCATCTGGAGGTAAGGGAGGAGCTGTAGGGGATGGACAGGAGGCTCCTGGTCCTGAGCATGACCTAAAACTGCACCGTGCCAGCAGTGGGTGGCCTGGTGGGGCTCTCAGTGGCGCGGGAGCCCCCAGGAAATGCCAGGCCAGTTACCATGCCGGTGAAAGGTGGGTCGGGGCACCTTAACCCCTAGCCTCTTGTTTGGAGGGCCTGGAGGGTGGACCTCCAGAGAGAGAGAAAAGGCCGTAGACTCTGGCCTGTCTGAGCTCCCCCTGACTGGCCCATGCTGGGGCCAGGACTGGAAGGGTCAAAGGGCCGGGGACCCACTGCGAGGGATGCCCAAGAGCTGAGGGCCTGGGGTCCCGACTGGCCTGGAGGTGGGCCAGGGCTAGTAGACCAAGGTCCCGGGGGGCGGACCACCCCCGAAGGGGAAGTGGTTCAGGGAGCTATGCTGCCCAGGATGAAGGTGGATGAGACCGCCTGAGGAGAGGAATCCAGGCGGGCGTCAATTAGAAGGATTCTGGGGCCCAGAGTGGGGGCCGGTGATAATGAAAACATCTAGATGCCATCAGCAAGGCTTGGGCTGCGGTGTAGGGGAGGAATGGAGCCACAGATAGTGCCCCCTGGCATCGGGGCCAGAAATGGGCAGCCTCTTTCTTGATTAACAACTATTAAATAATTAACAACAAGTCATGGTGGGTGATAAGGTGGGTGGTTAGCCCAGAAACAGGTGGGCAGGACCCCAAAGAGGCCCCCTGTTACACCTGCACTAGCTTCTTCCTGCATCTCAACCTGGTAAAACACCTTTTTTTCAGATGATCTATTGGTATGTCATCTTTTCACTTTTTTTGTTAGCTTATATTGTACTGGACAAGTCAGGGTTTTTTTGGATAGTCTTTCAAATAGTTTTTTCTGTTTTGTGTCTCAATCAATGTAGATTCTTTTTTAAGAAAATAAATTCTAAGTTTCAAAAGTACCGTTAGCCTAGTTTTCTTTGTCTTTTTTTCTTCCCTGAAAACACTTTAATGGGGACAGTCTTCAGAGATGTCTTTTGATAATGATCTTTTTTATCACAGATTTAGATCTGCAGCTTATTCCTAGTGGAGAAGTTACTAAGCAAGTAGGAGAGGCTCTGCCAGTATCATGTACTATTTCTTCCAGTAGAAATGCAACGGTGCTTTGGATAAAGGTTAGTAATAATAATTCTTGCTGAAACCTCACTTATTTCATTAGATTATTTTTCAGACTCCTTCCGCATTTTAGAAAGAAAAGTCAACAGTTTTCTTTTTACTTTTTTTTAAATTAATTTCAAGCATTGCTAAAACAAAAGATGGCAAATGGTATAACACCAGAGCCTTCATACTGTATGCAGTCTTTTAGATACTGTTGCAAGACTAGTGATTTTTTGCATATCCTGCCTTGATACCTTTGAACAATTTGCCTTAAAGTATACCAGGCCTCTTAAAATCGGGTTTCTTTAAGAATCTGTTCAGGTTGGGCATCACTCATACAGGCATCCATTTGAATCACTTCTGAAAAATTTAAAGATCTTCATGTTTTTTGTTGTGTACCATTAAAGTGCTAAAAGGACAGTGTGTTGGACTATTGGGGCATGGTGATTAAGTGTCTGATTGGTATTGGAGACAGTTCTTGCCGTATGTTTAAAACCAGCATAGCTCAGTAGAAAGAAAAAAGTACAACAACCATCTAATGGCTGTTCAGTAGCTCAAGTTTCAGAGTGTTGACAGGTCAAATCTAGTTTTCAGTAGACAGTTGTCCATTACTCAAAATGGCTGCCATACCTGTCATCTTTGTTGGCTGTCTCATTTGAGAGGTTAAGGAAAAAATAGACTGTAGACACCAGACCATCCGTGGCTCTCTAGTTCTGAATTAAAATTTATTGCAATGGCAGAGGCAGATAGCATAGGTCATTTATTCTTGATCAGGGTGCTGTAGCACCCTGGGGTGGTGCTAGATCATTTATAAAGGGTGCTGCGCAGAGGTAAGTGATGTATGAAGAGAGAAGCAGGAAAGCACTGACTCAGGCTTGTCCCTGTATGGCCAATCCCCCACCCCCATTGCACAGCCCCTCTTCACAGAGGTATAAACAAGAGTTTTTGAAATTGGGTGCTACTCAGTTTACAGAAATTATGGAGAGGTGCCTATGGAGGAGTGCCTTGAGTCTGAAAATGTTGAGAACCACTGGTATAGGTAAATGTAATAACACTTCTGTTGCCTCCATGGTGTGTGAAATCCCAGAAGTATAAGACTTGCAGGTTGGAGGGATGGCCAGTATTGGGATCAGTGAGAACAGAGAAACAAATGGAAAAATAGATTTTTTTCTCAGACTTCTTACAGCTGTTACTAGTAACAGGGTGCATCTAATTAGCTCCACAGTAAAGCATCACAATTTATATATGCAGCATACTAATGAACTCTGCCATAGGACAGTACTCTTCTATGGTAGAGTTCTTTACTGCACCAGAATGTACATGTGGACGGCAACCAGGGGGTTTGTTCCACTCTGGCTCAAATTGCTGCTGTTTTGGGTGCATTTCTAGATGCTGCACCCAGGAACAGTTGACTCCAGCACAAACTGCTCTGGAGTTTACCTTAATTTCACGTTTAGGTGAACCCATGCTGCCCAACAAAGGCAGGAATTTAATTTATTTTTAGGGGGCAATTCATCTGGAGGCCCTAACCTAGCAAAACATGTATAATTAAAGTGAAAAACTACTACTTGTTTTGTCACTCACAAGATAAGTAGATTTTCTGTGTTAAGCATGCTACACTCTTGTATTTTATTGGATGGGGGCCTAATTTGGAATTCATGTGGACTAACCTCTTTCTTTTCTTAGGACAATACTAGAATGCAGACAACTCCATCATTTTCAAGTCTACAGTATCAAGACGCTGGAAACTACATCTGTGAAACTACATTACAGGAGGTTGAAGGGTTAAAGAAAAGAAAAACACTCCTCCTTACTGTAGAAGGTAATGGAGTGGATGATTATGATTGTGGATTGTTCTCTTCAGAATTATGTTATTGGTATGGTTAATACAATATTGTTCTTTTAGGAAAACCTCAAGTCAAAATGACAAAGAAAACGTCTCTAAATAAAGCATCTAAAACCATCATCTGCCATGTGGAGGGTTTCCCCAAACCTGCCGTACAATGGACAATCGCCAGTACTGGAACTGTGATAAATCAAGCAAGTATCTTTCTTATTAACTAAGGCATACAGAGATGCACAAGCAATGTGATTTGAAGTCTAGAAAGCATGCAGATTGATATCAAAGCAGCCCAATTTAATTAGTTTATACACAAGACAGTTAAGAGGTGAAGTAACTAAACACCTAAAAGGGTACAAAATTCATAGTAGGAGAAGACTCCTGAATTAACAAACAAAGGAAGATCGAATGGCTGGAAGCAGAAGTTAGGCAACTTCAGACTAGGAACTATATATAAATTTTAAGTGAAGGTAATTAACCAATAGAATTAGTTTATCTAGGGAATGTAGTACTTCTTCCTCACTTGATGTTTTCAAGGGTATGTAATAGCACTTCCTCACTTCTTCATTTGATGCAAGACAGTCATCCAAAGGAGATTCCATAGCTCAAACAGGAGTGATTAAAGCAAGAATGTATATGGTCTTAAGAACTACAAATTCCCATCTTGCTGTATTTCTTAAACCTTTGATGTCTTGCTAAACATGTGACAAGAGTGCTCAGCCTAGGAAAAACATTCCACAAATTAACTGGAGAAAAGATTCTTTGAAACTAAACCAGGCTTAAATATAGTGCTACCAATGAGCTTGTAGTCGAATACTGGACAAAATGAATCATATACATACACAAAAACCATGGAGGGCAGAAGTAATGGTTGTCTTCTGCATTGCATTTTTCAGAATTCACCCTCCAGTAGACTTTGTTAATCTGTTCTGGCCAAATATTACATTCTGTTCTATCCTTGGAGCCTTACTGAAATTAAAGAGCCTGTGCTGGCTATATACATGGACAGAGCTTGCAACTTTCAAGATAGAAAGCTCCACATGCTCCCTAAATTACTGAAAACAATTTTGGGCACAGCATTAACTGAAAGATGATAATAAACAGTAGTAAATTCAGGTGATGGCTATATAAACATTTTAATTGGAGCTGTGATTTTTGTAATAAAACTAAAATAACTGAAGTAGTATAATTTGACCACATGAAGCTTAAAGGGAGACATAACCGTAGACAAGATAAGAATATGAAAATTGTAAACACTGAAGAAAGGCAGTGGGTATGTTTACACGGGACACTTAATGCGCATTAGCCTAATAACACTGAATAGTAGCATCTCATGGCAAAAACTGTACTAATAGCCTACTGTGTAGTCTTAATAGGCTAATGTGCAGTAAGCATCATTAAATAACCATGCACTAGTGCTACTGCGTAGTAACTCTAGGTGCTGCACATTTAGTTAGTACTTTATTAAGGAAGTGCTAAACTAAATGTGCAGTATCTAAGATGCATGAATAAATGTGTAGATGTGCCCAGTATGGCTGAAGGAGGTTTAATGGGAAGTAAGAGAAAAAGGCAATAAAAAATTACAGTTGAATGAGGTGGAGCTTTCTAATAGTGATGTATTTGACTATAGCATAACCTAACAAGTGAAACAGTCTGCCGTACTTTAAGACAGCATTTCTCAAACTGTCGTATGTAGCAGACTTCAGAGCATATGCAAGTAGAAGGGATAGGAAAAGCAAAGAGAGAGGAAAGAGGATATTCAAAGGGAGGAACAAGAAAAAAAAACAAACTCTTCAGATTATATTTCAGGTTGCTGGAGAAGTTAGTGTGATCATAGTGACACAATTTTTATCCAAAATGTATAAGTACACAGGTACAGCAAGCAGCATGATAAGTTTATAAGGGCTGCATGACCCAAAATAAATTTGAGAAGCACTGCTTTATGATGTTTAAAACAAGTCTGGACAATCACTGATATACTGAGGGAACTACTTCTTAAAAATATGTACTGAAACAACAAAAAACTGAATTGCCCAATGCAAACATCTATTATCACTAGGGAAGGGCTTATTTAGTGTATAGTGGGTGCACCTACATGTGCCGTTAAGGAGTCAGCTGCTCCCAGGTGCAGCATCTTCATGTGCATCTCAGACTGCAGCAGTTTGCACCAGGGCAGAGCAGCCCTGGTTTGGCAGGGAGTCCCAGGGGTCAGCCCTGGGCTCCAGAAGGTAGCAGAGGGGCTTGTAGGAGCTGGGGGTCTGGACCCCAGCTGGCTGGGTGTAACAGGGTGCAATTAACACACCCAGTCAATGTGTACACATGCATTTAGGCGTGGTTATTTTTGTTGCCTTAAAATAGTACCCAACAGTACTATCTTACACTGGTGAAAATTAGTTTGCTGCAGTCTAATAGTGTCACAGACGTAGACTATGACACTTTATTCTGTAGCAAATTAGTCTACTGTGCAGATAAGCACATATGTAGATGTACCCAGTGTGTATAATTTTGGATGGAGCAAAGTGTTTTTCATGTTTAATATTTGCATAAGCAGCTAATAAAATCTTATCCTATTTGAATTACAGATATACTACTGAACAGTTTTTCTTTGTGATTTGAAGTAGCTCATTTCTCCAAACTATAAATAGAATATCTTAAAAATATTTATTGCCAGAGTATTTCTTACGAACAATTTCAGTACTGGCTCATGATAGATGTACTTTATATTGTATGGAATCATTTTTGGAATTAATTTTTCTTCTTTCCTTTCCAGACAGAGGAGACCAAATATGTTAATGGAAAATTTTCCAGTAAAATTGAAATTGCTCCTGAAGAGAATGTTACAGTAACCTGCGTTGCAGAAAACCAGTTAGAAAGAACTGTGACCTCTATGAATGTGTCTGCTAGTAAGTACTATCAAGATGCTGTTTCCTTGACGTTTTAAATACCATTCTTTAAATTAAACATCCACTATGTAGTACAAGATGTAGATTGTGTAGCAGTAGTGTTAGTGAGAGACTTTATTTTTAGTGCAGAAGACATACCAGTTTTAAATCCAACCTAGGAGGTAGTGAATTGAATGAGTTACTAGCAGATGGCGGTTCAGTTTCTAGAGGATGTGAAGTGACTTAAGTCTTAGTACAATTCAGTGGGGCAGTGTCTGTATTAAAAAAAAAAAAAAAAAAAAAAAGGCTCACAGTGGCTCTAACTCACTCCATTGTTTAATGTCTTAGCAGAAAGGCCAAGGAATCTAATGAATATACAGAGTAAATTCCCCTCATATGCTTATAGATGAATCCCCTCTAGAATCATGGATTCAGGAGATTTTTGCTGCTGTATTTCAAAATATATTTGCTTAGTGGCTACATGATGTCATTCTTTGCTCCTGTACATACATTATGTGTAAAGTATTTTATTTATTTATTTTTTAGATCTCATTACTAAAATGATATCTTTTCTTAGCTGCCAATTTTGTGGTATGCCATTAATGGCTGTGTGACTTAGTTTCAGAACAGAATCCACACATGGGTGCTAGCATCTAATCCAGTATTGTTTACAGTAATAAAAAGGCAGAGTGCTGATGTTTTTTGGTGGGGCAATATAATGCTTAGTTAAAAGCATTTCTTTCTGTCTTTCCAAACTCTTTAGTATGATGCCTGAAAACTATAAAATAAATTTTGCTGCCTGAAAGTAAGATTAATTATTATGTTGTGTTGCTAATGCTGTATGAACATTTGTCCTGGCTGTAAAATAGACTGTTGTATTGAAATAAATATCACAGCACATTATGAGGGTGAAGGTGACTTTTTAGTTCTCAATGGGTTTTTGTTTTTAACTATATTACAATTTTTCATTTCAGTAACTTTTCCAGAAACCGATGAGGCAGAGGATAGAAATGGTATGTATGTACAGCACTGCATATCCCACTTTCTTAACTGTATCAGCTAAAGCTTTTTGAAAACATAGAAAATTAGGGTTAGACGTAGTCCAACCCCTTACTCCAAAACAAGACCATCCAACTATATCATCTCAGCCAAGACTTTATCTAGCCAGGTCATAAAAGCCTCCAAGAATGGAGACTCTGCAACCTCTCTGGGTAATCTGTTCCTGTGCTTTACTCTCCTGTGTGAGAGTTTTTTCTAATATCTAACCTCAACTTCTCTTGCTGCAACTTGAGACCGTTGCTCCTTGTTCTGTAATCTGCCACCACTGAGAACAGTCTACCTCTCTTTCTCTTTTCTCATGTTCCCTGCCCCTGAGCATTGTTGCCCTCCACTGAAATTGTTCCAACTTGTCCCACACCCTGTCTGTAGTGAGAGGCCCAAAACTGGACATAATATTCCCAGAAGTGGTCTCATCAATACTGAACAGAGGGAATAATCACTTCCCTCGATCTTCTGGTAACACCCCTAACTAATGCAGCCCAGTATGCCCTTAGCCGCCTTTGCAACCAGGGTGTACTGTTGGCTCATGTTCACTGTAACCCCCAGGTCCTTTTCTACAGAACTGCTGTGTAGCCAAGCCACTCCCCAGCCTGTACCAGTGCATGGGATAGTTTCATCCTAAGCAAAGAACTTTGCATTTCTTCCTGAACTTCATGAGATTTCTTTCAGTCCAATCCTCCAATTTGTTGAGGTTTCTGAATACTAGCCCTACCCTCCAGCATATCTACTACTCCCCCAAACTTGGTGTCATCTGGAAACTTGCCAAAGGTTCATTCCATCCTAACTTCCAGGTTGTTGATGGAGATATTGAACAAAAATGACCCCTGGGGCACTCCACTTGAGACTAGCTGCCAACTAGATATCGAGCCATTGACTACTACGCTCTGAGCCCAATGGTCCAGCCAGTTTTCTATCCACCAGGCAGTCCGTTCATCCAACCCATACCTCTTTAACTTGCTTGCAAGAATGTTGTGGGAGACCATATCAAAAGACTTGATAAAGTCAAGGTATATCATTGTTCACTGCTCTCCCTGCTTCTACAGAGTCAGTCATCTCATCATAGAGGCAATCAGGTTGGTCGGGCATGACTTGCCCTTGGTGAATCTATGCTGTTCCTAATCACCTCCTCCTCCAAGTACTTAGAAACAGATTCATTGGGTACCTGATGCATGATTTTTCCAGGGCCCGAGGTAAGGCCGACTGGTCTTTAGTTCCCCAGGTCCTCCTCCATCCTCTTCTTAAAGATGGGCACTATATTTGCCCTGTTCTAAACATCTGGGACCTCTTCTGATCACCTTTACTTTTGCAGAGCTGCTGATAAAGATAATGGTCAGCAGCTCTGCAATCACATCTGCCAACTCCCTCAGTACCCTCAGGTGCGTCATGTCCAGCCACATGGACTTGTACACATCCAGCTTTTCTAAGTTATCCCCAACATGTTCTTTCACCACTGGCTGCTCACCTCCTCCCCAAATGGTGCTGCCACGTGCCATAGTCTGGGAGCTGACCTTGCTTGTGAAGACTGAGGTATAAAAGGCATTGGGTATTTCACCCTTTTCTGCATTATTTGTCACTAGGTTGCCTCTCCCATTCAGTAAGGGACCCACACTTCCCCTGATCGTCCTCTTGTTGTTAACATACTCGTAGAAACCCTTCTCGTTACCCTTTGCATACCTTGCTAGCTGCAACTTCAGTTGCGCTTTGGCCTTCCTGATTTCATCCCTGCATGCCCAAGCAATGCTCTTATACTCCTCCCTAATCATTTGTCTAAGTTTCCACTTCTTGTAACCATCCTTTTTGTGTTTTAACTCACTGAAGAGTTCCCTGCTAAGCAAAGCTGGTCTTCTGCTATACTTTCTAATCTTTCTGCACATCAGGATGGTTCTTTCTTGTGCCCTCAGTAGGGTTTCTTTAAAGTGCATACAGCTCTCCAGGACTCCTTTCCCCCTCAGACTGGCCTCCCTGAGTGAGTTGAAGTCTGCTTGCCTCAAGTCCAGGGTCCTTACTCTGCTTCTCCTTTCTTCCTTTCCTCAGATTCTGAATTCAATCATGTCATGGTCACTGCTGCCCAAATTTTACATCCCCCACTAATTCTTCCCTGTTGTGAGCAGCAGAACAAGAAGAGCATGGCCCCTAGTTGGCTTCTCCAACATGTGCACCAGAAAGTTGACCCCAACTAGGGCCAGTGATACAAAAATTTCTGCTAGCTGTTTGAGAGAGCCGCATCCACCTCCTCCTCCTGGTCTGGTGATCTATAGCAGACACCCACCATGACACCACCCTTGTTGCTCTCCCCTCTAACCTTAACTCAGAGATTTTCAACAGGCCTATCTCCAGCTTCATACCAGAGCTCTAAGTAATCATATAGCTCTTTTACATAAAGCACAACTCCTCCTCTTCTCCCCTGCCTGTAACATCATTATTATTTTATAATAATTGTTAATGTAATTGAATAATTTCCACAACCCTTCGCAGCTGGACTTAAGTTAAAATAGCTGTGGCTATGAATATCTAAAAATTAGACTGTTGAAACTTTGTCCTTTAACAGTATTAAAGCTTGCCTATTTACTTGTTTATGCATTTTACATAGTTTTGGCTGTTTGATTAAGTCTTGTTTGGGGTTATTTTTACACCTGACATTTACTGCCAGCTATGATTGTAGAATGACTTCATGAGCTTTTCTTCTTTGTTTTTAGATGACAATACAGAAAAGGTTAATGACCAGGCAAAGCTAATAGTGGGAATCGTTGTTGGTCTCCTGCTAGTTGCTCTGATTGCTGGCATTGTCTACTGGCTTTATATGAAGAAATCAAAGTAAGAATTTACAGTGGAAAAATAAAGAAAATGTGCACTTACCTATTTTGGTCTCTAAAGTATTCACAATATGCAGAAATAGACAAGTTACCACCATAGATAAATTGTATGTTGTATCTGAAATTAATAGACGTCTTGATAGGGAAACAGCTACAGCACAGATTTCAGAGGGGGCATCTTTCTTAGTCATTTAGGGCCAGATTCTGTTTGCACTGAAGTCAGTAAAAGTTTGGTTTGTTTTTTTTTTCCATTTCACTTAAATGGGATTTGGCATTTAAACCAAGTCGAATTAGGGACTCCCAACCACTTGTCCAGGAATGCAAGGGACTCGATTAAATTTCTTAAAAAGCACTTTGAGATCTTCCATCAGTATCTGCTTTAATTCACTCTTCTGTATTGCTTGAAAACAAAGGAGTCACTGTCTAGAGCTGCATGTTTAATCATCCCTTGAACAGTATAGGTTTTTCTTACTGGCCCTGATCATTTTAAGTGGTTTTATTGATACAGAAAAAGAACCTTAACCAAGATGGTGATGGGAAAGTGATTTCATCAGGTCCCCTAACTAGTTACAGTGCGGCAATGATGTGGGGGTGGGGAGGAAAAAAACCAAACCCATGCTTTTACCCAGAAGCAGCATGTTAGTTCAACCTGGCATCCGCAGCATCTATATAGATTGAGCACTTCAGCAGGGCTTTTTGGTGCTTTCATCTAATAGCTGATTCAATTGGCTATTAGATAAAAGTGACAAAAAGCCCCACTAAAGTGCCTGCTCTATACGGATGCTGCAGAGTAGGGTCAAAGTAGGGTCAAAGTAACATACTGCCTCTTCTGGGCATGTGCTGGGCTCAGCACAGGAGCATGCTGACTTTAAAGTGCCAGGTGTTTTTTGAGGGGTTTTTTCATGCCTGCAAGCAGCCTGTGTGTCTAGTTCTAATCCAGTATTTATCTTCTCAGGTTGGGGTCAGTCAAGGTAAGTCTGATGGCAGGGTAAGTCTATCCTGTCAGGGATTCGGTGGAGTTAGCTGACTTACAAGGTCACATTCATAAAGTGTTCTGACAAGGGACATCATATGATTAGAGAGTTCTATATGGAAATATAGAGCATCACAGCTTGTCTGTGTTTCCCTATTTTTTTCTTCCTCCCCCCCAAACATCTAAAATATACATATTCTAGGATTAATTTCCCTCCCCACTAAACAGTTGCAGGTCTGTCCGTCTCTCTGTAAAAAGCTCTCTTCTGTGGTTAGCCACAACTGAGAAGTTTGGGGAATTTCCTAAACAGGGCATCCCTACAAAAAAAATCTAAGCACAGTCAACATGTAGTATTAAAAGGGGAAAGGAGCATTAAAATTATTTGTTTGATCAAAAATATTTCCCTCTGCTGTTTTTCCTTCCCTTATAATGAGCCGTTGTTTCATTTTGTTGAGTCCTCATATTCAAAGTGGGGGGAGAGTATAATTTTTACTCTCTGGCATGTTTTTGTACTTTATGGTATTTGGTTTATAAAGTTTACTTCAAAGTTAAGTAACAGAATATTCTAAGATGAGCAAGAAAAATGGAAAATTAAGTCTGTGGTAAGACAAGCTCATTGGGAGCAATGCAAAAGCATCATAGGATCATAGAAAGTTAGGGTTGGAAGGGACATTGTAGGTTATCTAGTCCAACCCCCTGCTCGAAGTGTGACCAGCCCCCAACTATATTATCCCAGTTAAGGCTTTGTCTAGCTGGGTCTTAAAAACCTTCAAGGATGGATATTCCACAACCTCCTGGGTAACCTGCTCCAGTGCTGTACTACCCTTCTTGAGAGTTTTTTCCCCAGTATAACCTGAACTTCCCTTGCTGCAACTTGAGGTAGTCTGTATTTAATATATTTCTTTAGAAATTGGTGACAACATATCAGTGATTGAAATATGTAACGTGTTCCCTTTCCTGTTTTCTGGATGCAGAGAGTCAGCAGAAGAAAGCAGTATTTATTATAAAGCAAGATTTCAGTGCAAATACACCAGAAAGCCTATGCAGCTATGTCACAAACCACTCAGAATCCTTACTGACCCCGAGTGCATCCAGTCATAACCTTGCATCTCCATACAGGCCACTCTTGAACACTTAGGTACTTGTTGAATGCACTCTCAGACAGTTACTCACCTAATCTGTCCCCAAAAGGACATCCCTGCAAAGTCTGAGAAGTCAGCAGCCCAGCATTTCCCAAGCTTCTTGAGGCAAGAAAAAAAAATACTTTTTTGTTTTATTGTGGTTTGTAAGATCTTGATCTGTCTTGTCACCTAATGTAATAGGAATGTTACTTCTAGCCACTGAGTATGTTCACAGCAATTAACTTGTAATTATTCATCACTTAGTGCAAAAGCCAGTTGTTGCTGTATTATATTTAACTACATATATTTAACATATACTGCCCTATCAAACAGGCATGATACCAATATTCCATATCTCTCACCACCCCTCTCTGACAAAGAGTTGTGAGCTACCATTTTCCTCTTTGATGTAGCCAGGCAACCAAATAGTCAGTTGCCACATGCCACTTCAAGCCTGGTTAGCTAGGACATCAGGCTCCCAGTAAATTGCAAGTGCATCCCTTACGTAGGGAACATCTGTAGGTACAACTATCTTAAGCAACCCATTTCATTTGTAAGGGGTTTGTCTTATAACTAAGCAAACTGGTCATATAAAAAGTAGTGTTAGTAGCTTCTATATATACTTACATTTTAGGGAGGCATGTTATCTGATTTTTTAAACTTGGTCTCATTTTCCTCTTCCTCCCTGGACCCCTCCTCCCCCCTCTAATTAGGAACACATACCTGAAGATAAGCTAAAGCAAGATGAAGTTGATTTACTACAGCAAGTTTTATGGAGATCAAATGCACCCTAAATTATTGGAAGCCTCTCAGCAGTCTCTTGCTAATCTGAGGCCAGTTACATGATGAACAACAAAAACTGGGCTTTGCTGCTACTTCACACACATTTACCACAACACTTAAAAGTTTCCAGTCATATTACGTAAAAAACATTTGTAACGTGACATACGGAATCTGGATTATTGCTCACATGGTTACCTTCCATTATATTAATTACTTACTTTCTTTTCATATGAATGTGATTAATGTTGGTGTGCATTTGTACCAACATGTGCATTTTCCCCACTGGTCATCATTTCTTCAATGCTAGAATATTGTCTTCAGGCAAGCCCCTTCTTTCTGCTGTCGGTCATTCATCAATAGTTGGCCAAAGATGGTGCAGATAATCCTGCTTCTTATTCTGGGCCCTTGTTTTTTTTATGCAGTCTTTAGTAAATGATGGGTTTATGAGTAAAAATCTAAACATGCCTTTCAAAAGCGATGCCATTTATAAAAATTCATGGTTCCTGCTTCAATGCACTTTTCTCTCCGTTGCTGCCATGTTCATCAAGCAAGCTGAGATGACAGGGACACCTACTACTTTGAATTTTCCTGTTAAAATAAATCACAGTATGAAATGTTGAGTCTGGTGGTAAAAGGAAGTCAGAAACCATGGGAGACTAATTCTGAATGAGCTCTTATATTTAACAGTTTAATCAAGGACACACAAAAAAGGAAATACTGTTTTTCCATTAGTGAATATCATACTGTGAATGACATCTAAGTAAAACTGCTGAAGGTAGAGATCACCCCAATCCAAGGGGAAACTGGTGATCCCGTAATCTCTATAAATGGCAGGTCAAAGGCAGGAGAAAACTTTTCTTGGAGAAAACTCAGGACTTTTCTTGAAGCTAAGTGTGAGATGTCAGATGAGGAGCCTAAATTTTAGTGAACCATACAAGGATGTATAATCTGAGTAGGGGAGAAAAGTACAGGAAGCTGAAACAAATTATAAGTGAAGCTGTAGTATTACCTGGTCTTAGTTACAAGTCTACTTCAGATAAATAGATGCCACTGCCATTTCCCACATGTGGGGTCTAGTTAAGCTGCTGTAGTAGGGATATACTTCCCAGAGGATCTACAGCAGTGATACTTTAGTTTAGTTCAGGCTGAGATGTCCTAGCACACTAAGCACAGACTAGCAGCACTGAATTCTGCATTGTAGATGTGTCATGGCCTGGTCATAAAAGTTGCACGCCAACCACAAAAGCTGGTGAGTGCAATACAGTTAGCTGCCAGAAGAACCAATAGGGGGATTTAAGTGTATTGCCAGCTTGCCACTAGCTGGTTACAAACTCAGACTGTATTATTGTGGTTCTTGCGCCAGAGTTTTCCACTCTTGTGACCATTGGTACAGCTCCAGAGTCAAGGTACTGGTTGCCTCAGTACCAGTAAGAGCCCTGTGTTTTAATAGGACTGAGAATATTGCCTGCCCAAGGAGTGGTAGTGTCTGGGGCAGCCCTAGTATTGCAATACAGCACAGGACTGTCTAACTGGTGCCCCAGGAGGGCTTAAGTTATAGCCCCTGGGCTCCTGCCCAGATACCATTCCGCTCATTGCTCTGGCTGTCCCTAGGCTCTTCTTCTCTCCTCCAGCTACTGTCCTGCCTCTGCCCCAGGGAAGGTAGTGGTGGGGTGCCCATGAAGACATGCATTGCAGGGTAGGGTATCTGGTAGGGGTGGGGAGGCACCCACATGGGCATGCAGAGGAGAGGGGGAAGCATCTGCTTAGCCCAGTGGGCTGTGGCTCAACTGGTGCAGCATCTGCAGCCCCCAGGAGCTAGGAAGCCCCCAGCTTCCCCAGCCCCCAGGAGCCCTACAGTAGTGGTATCACAGGCTTCTGTATCCACTAGAAACTAACATTGTGATGCTTCTATCCTTAGCGTTAGGTATGAAAATAAATGGACAAATTTACAGACATACTGAGTTCCTCCAGCATTTATTACCTTCTCTGGGCCATAACAGGAGCTGTAGCTCCTCACTTGCTCTGAAATTGCAATCTCCATCTTCACAAAAAATTAGAACATTTGGGGCCTGAAAGGTTCATGATGATGTCTGTGATATTAGAGGGGAGAGAAACAGAATCCAGCATAGTTAGACAAGTTTCTTACATACAACTCTCGAACAATAAGAAACAAAATAGTTGTATCCGTTTATCAACTTACAGTTTTAGCATCTGCAACTGTAACCTACACAGAGTAATAGTGGGTTCAGAACTGACTAGTGTTAACATGAAAGCCAGCCTGGCTTAGGCTCTGCACACAGTGAGGGACACAACGAAGTTATAGTAATTTTGCATAATTCTCTTTTATTGTGGCTTATTCTCAGACTTAATTTGTTATATTTGACATATGCAAATGTCAAATACATTTCTATAAATTAAAGTTTAGCCCTACTTCCTCTGCTTCAGTCGTGTTCCATGGCTAAAGCAGGATTTTGCTTATTGGACTTTGTCAATTAATGTGCAACTGTTGGTGCCCTTTTTAAGCAAGCCTGGTCGTCTTGCTGGAGACACCCCAGAATGGTTATTATCTGTCATCATCTGCTTAGCTGTTATGGAGGAGACATTTCATGTCTTGCTATTCAGATGACAGGCAAAATCCATCGTAGCCAACAAAAACAAGTAAGGCTTAAAAATATATTTTAAATCTCCCTAATCCACAGTAAATTTATTAAGATAGAAGAAGTTTATCCACTGTTAGGATATTCTTTTTTTCCTTTGTATTATGGTCTTGCAGTGCATCTCTCATTTCCTCTCTGAGGTGTCAGATGAGAAAACGAATAAATTTACTATACAACAGAAACTATAGTGCAACTAGCAACTCTGTGACAATCTTAACAATTTAAATGACAGGAGTCAGTGATAATGAACTAAAGCCACTGATCTTTGGCTTGAAAGCCCAGCTAGTACAAAGACCTCCCCACTAGCCATACTTGAAGTTTCAGGCTGTTGTGCATAGTCAGAACTTCATTCAGAATCTTACATTTATATATTTTTAAATCAGGCCCAAAGATGTGTACCTTCTTTGCATCAGGCTGTTTCACATGCCTTGCACAGGGGACTTGGCTTGTCAACAATGTATGATTTGGAATACATTTAATACACCAAAGTTGTCCTATTTTGTCCTAACCCATTATCTGAATTAAGACTTAACTAACAGCACTTCTTTAGGATGCTTTAAAGAACATTTGCGGTGCTTGCCTACCTCCTTGCACACACTAAGAGCATGCATGCAGACATCCCACCAATGAAAAATAAAGGTACAATAAAAAGTATAAAAGATTACATGATGTATGGTGTCAGTCTGTGACATGTCAGACTCTTGCTAACTTGTGTCATCACTGAATTCTACAAGTCAATGTCACCTCAGTTCTTTACCCTGAAGCAAGGGTGAGTGCATGCATAAATCTGTCACAACAGACATAACTTTTTCTGTAGAGGAAAAATTATCCACAGAGAATGTATATATGATAAGCTGCTTTGACACATGGGATTTACTTTGCCCCACTCAAATATGTTGCCCATTTACATTTTAAAAGTTGTGGCCTTTAAAATGTTATCACACCACTGCAGGAATCTTTCACCTTGGCAGACAGTGAAGCTTCTCTTGCACGTTAAATGAATGGCTTAGTGGTTTTATTGTGCTAAGCTACACTAAGCACTTAACTCATTAATTCATCTTCACTACTTATATTAAAGATGACCTGCTATTTAAACAAGACGTACCTCTTTCTCCTGCTGCTCAAATATTTACACATTCTCTTTTCTACCCAAAAGTTGTCAGTCATAACTATCAGAGATCTAGAAACAAATAGCATCCAGGTGGTACCCAGAATGCTTTTCCAGCATGGCATAAGTTCTCATTAACTTCTTCACACTAAGGGAGCTTCTGCTGTTTTGGCACAAGCTCCAGAAAGACATTATTCCATGAGCGCACACAGACTGCCATGTTGGTAAGGATGCTTTTCTTACAAATCTCAGTTTAGTTTGTTCATAAACAAGGCTTCCTTAATACAACATGTAAAGATCTATGCAATGAATGTGTCAGCAAAATGTGTACAGCCGGTTTAACCTGACTAAGTGTACATGGCAAGTGAGCTCAGATAATTTAGGATCTTTTTAAAGCAGAGTATGTGTATGCAACCTTACCTCAGTGCTAAATTCTATGGAGAAACTAATAATAATACCATCAGTATATTCATGGCCATATGCAAGCTTATTACTGGGCTGGTAATTAAATTATGCACATTTTCTGTATTGGAAAGAGGCATAGCATATTAAAGTTTTGATGGAGCAAAATGCATAGTCATGAAAATAAGATATTATTTTTCATCATAGGACAGCATCAAAACATGTAGACAAAGACCTTGGAAATATAGAAGAGAATAAAAAGCTAGAAGAAAACCATCATAAATCTGAAGCTTAAAAGACAAAACATGTCAGTCGTCATTCCAGGTGGGTGTTGTGAACTGCAATGTATGGTATGTTTGTCCACTATTCCCCACTTCTGCATAGAATCAGAATTGCTTACTTGTACCTTCCATCTTGTTCTGCTAAAGGAGATGTTTCTTTTAATTTAAAAGGTAAGTAGCTTGTACTCGTAAAGCAAAATGGCCCTGAATTTTTCATTAGTGTAAGGTCCACAGTTGCCATCTGGCAAGAACTGTAAGATCTTGTAGCCTTATTTCAGAATACAAGAATTTGTATTAAAGACAGTGGGAACTACCATATTTACTCAAATATAAGACAAGGTTTCTTCCCTCCACAATCAGCATAGCAAAAACACAGCGCCTTGTCTTACACTTGCATACAAGGAACCTCATTAAATACATCTGGCAGCAGTTTAGTGATACACAAAGCAGCATGTGCTCAGTATTGGAAACCAACTTTGAAGCTGATTAAATGCAGCTAACACTGAACATGATTATAAAAAAATGGTCCCCCTTAAGCAAACATACTGATGGGCACCTTCCAAGTGAAAACGTTAGTGCATCACTTCTGATTAAGATATATGGCAGTTCCCATTAAACTCAGCCTCATAGCTGACTCTTTTCTGAGTAAGTGAGCCATTGACTACAGTTTGACTTCCCTTCACTCCCACAGCTGAGCTGTGCCTTTCTTGTCCGTTTCCAATTATTCCTGTGTCTTCACCAGCCTTAAATATCTGCAATCACCACCAAACGGGGCCCCAAACAATTCACCCAGATCCCCTCTATCCGTTACCCTGTTGCATATGATTACAGTGGCCCTGCACCTCATCTGCATATGAGTTATGGGATCCTCCAAAAATGTGCAACAAGAACACCTGGTTCCAGTCATAAGTGGGGGCTAATTAGCACACAGATCCTTTTTGGGGGGGGGGGGGGGGGGTATTCTGGCATACACACACACATACTGAGCAGTGCTGAGCTATGGGGTGCAGTGCTGAGCATGACTTGAAATGCTGTTGACATTGTTGGAGCCCAGTCCAATGAACAATATGGTCAATTATGAGCCTTTTGGCTTTGACTAATATGCATACTTTGCACTATATACAAATAGGTACAAAAGTGCTGCTTAAAAGTGTGCTTATAGGGTACCTGAATTAAAACTTGTAACTGTTTCATAGAAGTTCAAATGTATCAATTCCAGATGAACTAAGTTTTTGGGCACCCATAGTAATATGCCTATATGCTTATTTCAGTCAGTGTTTTCAGATTTGCTCCTCACTTTCACCATGTGCTCAGGGAGAGCAGGGTCTGATGGGGGGGGGAGGGCAGGCAGGGAAGGAGCAGGCTGCAGAGGACAAGGGGGCTACCTGACTCCCCAGATTTATTTTCCCTGCTGTAGCAGTTGGAGGTGGACAAAGTCAAGGCAAACCCCCAACAATTAGGTTTTATACCTGGAAAATTATAACAAATCTATATATTTTCTATGTATATAGAATCTAGTAATTGCAGGGTCATCTTATATTTGACTACATACGATACTTGTATCTCTGTTGTCTTGGGAAAGTGAGAACTGCCCCCCTGGACAGCTAAGTGCACATGCACATTAAAAATTGGGTAAGAACTCTGACATTCATAAGCCAATTCACATAATATTTCCCCAGTTGTTATATATCAGTTAGCATTTAAGTAGCATAATAACTAAATTGAAGAAAATGTTGGGTTTTATAGTGAAAAAGAAGCTGACAAAGTAAAAGGAACGCATCACTGCTTACAGTATATAAAAGTAGTGTTTGTAAACACCTCAAAAATGATTTCAGTTCAAGGGACAGGAAGCTCCACTTAGCAGAACGCCACTGAAAGGTAACTTGCCTTGTTTTTTCCATTGGCCTTCTGTTGGAGATGGAGGCAGTAACATAGCAGTGCTATTGCGGGTGGGGTAGAATTTTCCCACTTCTAATTTCTATAGAACAAAAACTTCAGGAGGCCTTAGGCAACTGACAACTGCAAGGAGTGCAGAGATACCAACAGCACCATATCCAGTAGTCGGATGGATCCACCACTGCTATGCCAGTCCTCTTTCAGTACCACAAGCAAGGGTTCACACCATCTTGAAAGAGTAGTCTCATATGTGACGTACATTATAGATGTCACAAAGGAGTGGGAACTTAAGACATGGTTGTCAGTGAGGTGTCCTCTAACAAGTCAACTTATTTACTTATTATTTATTCAAGTATTACATTCTCTAATTGCTTGCCTTTTAGAATTTACAGGCTTTGAAACTCTAAAAGGGCCTGCTTTTCAGAATTCACTGAGCACTAATCTTCAGTCAAAGCAAAATTACAGATTTTAAGGAAAGTAACACTGTTGCTGCAGTAGAGCAATAGAATATAGTTTAAAGAGGATGATGACCAAGTGGAGAAAATCTAAGCCCTTTGAAAAATTCTAGATATCTGTGACTAATTGAAAGGCACTACATCTTGCCTGTGATCCATAAAATCACAAGGCAAATTATCTTGCCACAGATACTTAAAACTTTCATAGAAGTAAAGGATGATCAAGTTAAATATTATATGCCTATATAGGTGGACAGGAACAATGTTACCTTGAGAAGCAAAAAGATTTGGTAGACTGGAAGGTGCATTTCAAAGGTGGAAGAGCCATAAATGGGGATTTCTTCTGGCTACAAGGAAATTGCTCAGGTAGCTGTGGGGGATGAACACAAGACAGGTGAGAGGAACTGCCCTTGACAATGCACAGTAGCAAGGTAAGTGAGAGACTAGAAAAAAGCTGGATCTAGCTGCTTTATACAGGGCTTCAGCAGAGGGAGATCTTAACTACCTAGAGTTAAGTTCAATAGAAGGTGGCGGGAGGGGTGGAGGGGAAAGGGTACAATCTGGTGAGTCAGCAATGGGTGCCCTTACAAAAATGCGTTATTCTTGATATTCTAGAAATATTATTTATATATGGACAGGAATATAATATTAAAATACTATCTCTGATATTATACACCTACGTCCCTACCCATCCATCCATGTATAAAATATTTTAACTATTATGTACATTTCGCATATCAGGAATAACCCACTCACCATTCGGAAGCATGTCCTCATGGAGCTACTTGACATTGTACCTCCCCACCCTCCATCTCCGCTCCCCACCACCCAATATTTAAGATTCCCCCTCTGCTGAAGCCCTATATAAAGCAGCTAGATCCAGCTTTTTGTTAGTCTGTTACTTTGCCACTGTGCATCTTGTCAAGGGCAGTTCCTCTCACCTGTCTTGTGTTCATCCTCCCTGGTTACCCGAGCAGTTTCTTTGTAGCCTATAACCAAAGAAGTCTCTATTTATGGCCCTTCCACCTTTTGAAACCCACCTTTCAGTCCCTCCCTCACCCCCAAATTGTTTTGCTTCATGAACCACTTGTGCCCCCAGCGGCTGGGGGGGCACAGCAGCAGCGGGAGTGCGGCGGCAGTAAGTGGGAGAGTTCCTGCAGACACTGCTGGTGCTGTCGGTGGTGGGGAGTGGGGTGGTGAGCACTGACCAAGGGTTGGCAATGGCCAGTGGGGATCGCGGACTGCCCACAGATGCTGCTGGCAGCATCAGCAGCAGGGTGGCGAGCAGCGGTGCAGGCACTGCCGTCACTCAGTGGTGCCTTTTTGTAGGGGGTGCACCACCATGCTCAGGGGGTGCATGTTTATCCACGTGTACCCCTTACGCGTTGCCCATTTTGCTTCAAGGTAGCATTGTTCCTGTTCACCTTCCCACTGAGCACTTTAAGAAGGACACAACCCAGCAATAAATCTAACACGCACCAAGTGTGGCGAGCAAGTCTAATGGAGTAGGAGTCGTCCAACTCTAGGCCTCCTGACTTTTACCTCCCTGTTAGTGGGCATATCTACACATTCGTTAATGCACCTTTGCTACTACACAGTAAGTTTGGTACCTCTAATATGAGGTACTGTATAAAGGGCATTAGCCCACACTAACATGCAGTAGTGAAGGCAAACAGCTTTTTTGTGATGCTTAATGCACAGTAGACTGCACATTAGTACTGTTTTTGGCATCTCATGTAGATGTACCCAGTAATTTATAGTGTCCTAGTTTGGGTATAATTAAGAGCAATGCCCCACCCTTCCTCCTACCTGGGGGCCTATTATCTTCATCCTTTGATAAAAATAGGGATGGGGGGGCGGGACAGCAGGGGCTGAAAGGTGCCATGGGAAGAGGCAGGAGGTATAGAGGCAGTGGGGATGCAGGCAGATGTGGCTCCAGCATGGGATTGGGGTTCAGACTACAGCAGCTACCTTGTACTCTATTCCAAGAGGAGGGGCTTCTCCCCCCTCCCCCATGTTAAATGGCAGGAGGGGAGGTAAGAACCTCATCTTTGAATTGAGTATATATTGTAATATTTGTCTGAATATTGCATAGTGTTTTCTGTATGAATATTTTAGTTTAGGTGCCTCATTAATGGACAGTCTGAGATGGGTCATACTAGCACAAGCAGGTGACTATATGATCACATCAATTTCCACTTAAATGCCAGAATTACTCACTCTGATGACTCCAACTGGATTCCCATCAGAGTCTATCGGACCAGGTTAACCAAAGTCATCAAAACCCACCTACAGTAAATAAGTTTCCCAGAGACTAGAAAACTAGACAGGATTTAAGATTCACTTGGAGGAACAGGGCTGGGGTGGTACAGGTGCTAAGGCACATGGTTTATAGCCTAGTGGTTGCAAGTTTGAAGCCATAGCAGAAATGCTCACTGTGTGGTCTGTCAGACTCCCACAAATCTGCAAATTTTGCTAAATACCTTGTCACATGGACATGAAAAAATAAAGGATCCTTTGATAGGGCAAATGCTTACAGTCCTGTGGTTGTTCTCAACCTTTGTAGACTCTTCATTACTATTTTGACTACAGAACAATAATAGAGTTGTTCTTCTGTTACAAAGGACTCAGAAAGACAGCAACAGGTCAGAATGTTTTGACACTATAGATTCCTGTTTGAAATCTCTGGGTTTATCTTGCAAGTCACATCTAGGTATTTGCACATCAAACACCCGGTGTCACCCTTAAAAGGATCTTGCAGTGCCAGAGTGCTGTGTCAAACCAGTTCAGAATCACTGCCCTAGAGCAGGGGTTCAGGGCTCAGTTTACAGAGCTATTTGTCTGCCCCACAAACTTGGGGCTTCAGTAGTACTCAGCAGCAAGGGCAACAGCCATTGCTTTTCCCTGTGGCCAAGAAGAAAGGAATAGGCTGCAGGTGCTTTCCCTATGCCAACACAGGGAAAAGCAGCAGCATTGGGTGCTTTCCCTGTGTCTGTGGGAAAAAGCAACAGCAGCAGCTGGGTCCTAGTATCACCCACCCCAGACTCAAACTGAATCAGTTCAGCTCCCAGCCTTGAAAGACTGCTTCTGTAGACTAGGGAATGCTTTATAAGAAGAGGGGAGCCATCTATACCACAACATTTTTCAAAGGATGGGAGAAAACAAGCTGGGAACTCTGCTTCCACCTACCAGCCTCGTGTGCCTCCATCAGCAAATGGCAAGCATCTTTCAAATCCTTCAAATCCTGGAATTTCCTTCCGAGTCACTGTTTGCAAAATTACTCCCACACATGGTTAGCCCAGGAGACAGTACTTAGAAGGAAGCCAGCCAGCAACCCATTCAATATATTTGGAAGCAAAGAAAAAGATGGAAAGAGGGGATTCTTTCCAATGCCACGGGTTGGTATTCTGCCCGACAGCCAATCCTATAACATCTCGTTTCATCTTCATGAATTTTCCTTGAACTACTAGCCTGAAGTTAAAGTGATTATTAAGAAGTATAATGCAAGTGACTCCAGGGCAGAACCCAGACTCAAAAGATACTATTTGTTAACCCACCAAGGATATGAAGGTTTTGGAATAAATGTTCTTTCAGATCACAGGTTGTCAGAGGTCTTACTACCTTACTATTAATTTTAAGGCTTGTGAGTGCCTTTTGGGAAGGGGGAAAAATGGAGGAGACAGAAGAGGATGCTAGTGAAATACTTCTATATTTGCTACTGAAAAAGAGAATTGAAAAGAATAGAAGTGTCAAATTGGTCCCTGAACATAATTGATAAGTTATCTGGGAAAGTGGTAAAAATATGGATCTTGAAAAAGCCATAACACGAGCCTAAATGTTCTACTCCAATATCAGTAAGGAAAACACACTTTTTTCTTTCATACCCTCATCTTTTGAATGGTGATTCTGGGCATTTCATGTGAGTGCATTTCAATGGCAGACAGAATTAACTTAAGCATTTTAATTTGTTGGGGGGGGGGGGACGGATGACAACACATTGGTATATTGAACACAAGTTAATTTCCCTACTATCACTTTGTTTTCAGTTTAGAACTGCTACATCAATGTGAGCTTCTTACTATTAAATTCACTGCTCATTAAATGAACATAATCATTTTATCAACAGCACATCACAAAGGTTTGTCATTATTTAAGTTTTGAACATTAACTTCTATTTAACAGCAAAATAAGTGATTTACAAAGAGGTGATATTGGGATACCCTTTTAAACCCATGTCTAATTGCTTTTTATTTTTTATATTTGCAGAGAATACATATAGAACAATTGAAGCATGAACGTGGATTGTATTTAAAACATATACAAAGAAGTGACAGCTATTCATGGTTCAAGTATTAAGCGGATCATTCTACCAAGTTTTCAAAGGATTTTAGACACAATTATCTCAAGTTTAAAAGAAAATCAAACTAATTTTGGCAATAGCCATGAGAATAGGTCACCATGTTGTGTTCTGTTTGAATATTTTTTTTTTTGTAAATGTCTGCACTGAGGATTTCTTTTTGTTTGCCTTTATGTAAATTTTTTACGTAGCTATTTTTATACACTGTAAGGCTTTGTTCTGGGAGTTGCTGTTAATCTGATGTATAGTGTACTGTTTTTATTTCAATTGTTTTTATGACGCCCTTTGAGCAGGTACATTTCTAATTCTGATTGTCATCAGAAAAAAATACCTTTGCTTTGTATAGCAAGCATCTAAAGCATAAGATTGTCTTATGGGAAAATGTCAAGCTCTTTTTCATTTCTTGAAATCACTGTAACAAGCAAGAGACAGCTATGACGAAAGGTAACTAAATTGTTTGTGAAAGTAAACAACAAAAGCCAACTGACCAGAAAGGGAATAAACCGTTTCCAAAAAGAAAGCTGGGTATTTAACAAGGAGCTTACTACAAAATCCTTGTTAGCCTGTGTACAAATGGCTGCTAATAATTCCTTTTCTTCGAGAGTGAAACACATTTTATTGATGCTTTGGAAAAGTATTGATTGTTCTCAGTTTCATGATAGATATAGTGTAAGTGACTGGACTTCTGAATTTGTTTTAAATTCTTTTGGTTTTCCACTGCCTTAAAAGTACTTTATCTTTTTTGCATTTCAGAAAAGATATCAATCAGAATTGGAGACTTTTTAAAACAGTGGTCATATCAAAGCTACATTTTTTTCCCCACAAAAATAGAATATATATTTTTTGTGTGTTTTTGTTAACTACGCTACAAATATTGAATGCACCTTGAGATAATTTTAGTGTTTTTAACTGGTACATAATTTATCAAACAGTACATATAATTGTAACAATGAAATGTCTATGTATCTTTAGTTACATTCAAGTTTGTAACTTTATAAACATGTTTTATGCTTGAGAAAATTTTTAGAATGGTAGCAAAAAGGAAACATTGAGGTAGATGGCCACTATTTAAGATGAAAGTTACAAGTTTCTCTCTTAAGGAGAAGATTAGTTTCTGGGAAAATGTAATAGACAATTTTGATAAGAAGGGGAAAATAAGTAAGCAGAACATCAGGTTTCCATTTACAAAAGTGATCCAGGGAAAAGCAAGTTTTTATAGACTGGTAGGCAAAAAATTAAAAAAATGGAAATTAGGAAATGTATTTTGCCACTTTTGCATTGTTTAGGAAAAAAGCACTGTTACTCGTAAATTTGTAAAATGTTAAGTGTCTGGGCAATAGTGACTGATGTCTTAATAAAAGCTTCCTGTAGTGCATTGGCATGGATTAAATACATAAAATGTCCTATAAACCCAATACTGTATAAAATTAGGGGGGAAACCCTGTTATATTGCCTCTAAACTTTGAATTGTTAATGTTTTATTTGGCAAAAAGAAAAAAATAATCTTGGTCAACATTTAAACCAAAGTAAAATGGGGGGAAAAAACCAAAGTAATCTGTTCTGCATGGCTAAGCCATTATGTTATCTCTGTAAATATTGTGATTTTTTTTTTTTTTTTAGAATTTTGTTAAAAAAATTCTAAAATTTTTAAACACCTGTTTTCCAAAATAAAACATGAACACACAAATTACTTTATATACAAATATATCTTTTTCTTTTGGTGTGAAAACACTACCAAGTGATTATACATTTGAAAAACAGTGTGAGACTCTTGCAAAAGAAAAAAAGTTGTAATGGAATAACCGTGGTTTTAAATATGATATATAAAAGACTTGATTTAACACTACAAACAGTTCTGAAATACAGAACTGAAATGTTTAAGGCTGATAAGAAAAGCTATAAAGGAGTTGAATTATTAACCACTATGCTGAAAAAAATGAATGAAGATAATAACTATTCTTCAACTTCTACATCCACAGTTGTGAAAAAGGAATACGAATCTTACCTTTTGAGATTCTGCTACATACAACTCCTGTCCAGTTTAACTTTTCAGCATTAGGAGCCTGATTTTCACTGCTCAAAGTTGGACTTCAGGCACGTTTCAGAAACCAACAGTGCAAAAGTATTACTGTTTCCATCCATGCCTAAAAGATAATAAATTGAAGTATGTCTTCACCTGCTTGTCTGACATTTCAGTTTAAAGGAATACTTATGAATGCAAAGAAGGACTTTTTCAAAACTCATGTTGTTACAGGCCACGATTTTGCAAATGCCTATGCATGTATGTATTTTAAGTTTACTCACATGGGAAGTCTTTTTGAAGTTGCAGGGATTCCTCATGGGTGTAGAGACCTACCCACACATCATACAGTCAGGGAAAAAGTCAAATGTTATTAAAAAATGAACAAACCCTCAAGTATAGAAGTATTGTTATATAAAACACAGCATCTATCATTGTGCCATCTGGACATGCTACAGTTAAGTTACACAGGTTATGGACTAAAGCTATGGCCCCAAATAAGACCTACAGAAATGTGTGCCAAAGTCTACACTGTTACAGATTTTCTACTGTAGCCAAGTTCATTTGAGCTCACTAGTTACTTCTTACAAAAAGTTTCTGCTTGCAAAGTGAAGACACACAAAGATACTATTGCCTTCATTTTAAACATAGGGACAGGGGGAGACAAAGGGGTGGATCCGCCCAAGGTCAAATGGGAAACAGATGCCTGGAAGCAGAATAAATATAGATGTTTTGCAGTCTTACCCACAAGACCATCTCCTTCAG